CCCCCCCCCCCCCACCACCACCACCACCAACACATCAACCTTCATAGATTTACAATTACCAACAAATTAGACATTTCTGTAGAGGCCCATTTTTGCAGCAGAGACCGCAGCATAAATGATATCAAGATTGATGTGAGCGAACTTCCCGCAGTTAACATTTAAGCCGATTCCCATGAAATTCTAACAGTGTATGGCCAGCTTAACCCTTTACCAGCTTTTACCACTCAAGTGTGTCAAACAAAGTTGTATTTTATATGTATCTAGGATATCATATAAGCTCTAAACTTTCTGCATTAATCAATAGTTAACATAGTACATAATACATTACTACTGTTCTAGTCCGGCCGAGAGAGTTAAATTGAAGTAATAGTACTTTTAACCACTAGAGGGGGGCAATTTACAAAAAAAGTGACAAGCCCACGGACCTGCATTTTAGACTGAGATGTCCCATGTCACTCTCAATACACTTCGTTTACAGTGTGCTCCGGAAATGCTGTATGTACTGTATGTGAATGATAATAACGGTGGTTCTCCCTGATACAAGCAAATGTGGGGCCCAGGAAAATGGAAATGAAAGAAAGCCAAGTACCAGGACTTTTCGACCTGTCCATCAACCAGCACATCTCTAAAATCTCCCCCTGAAGCACCTTAGGGTAGCATTTGTGTGATACCTGTTTCCTGCTTGATGCTAGAGGGCTTGCCTATGTGAGTGATAGGCAATGGGTATCCATGTTCATGCTGAGTGAGTGTTATTGTCAATCCACTCAGCTCATCGCCAATCCGCTCAGGCACGTTCCAGAACTCACTTCCAATACGATAACCCTGCAGGAAAAGAATGTATAATGTTTTGGTCCAATCACATTCATCATTTGTACACGGTTATATAGTCCACCCCACCTTGCCGCTCTCCAGCGCGGGGATACAGCGGTCTATAGCATGTCTCTCCTCCTGGATGCTGCGGTAATCATCACAAATGTTCATTGCAAGCTGCTCACTAGGCTTACCCAGGCGACCTGCATGAATACATAAGATTTAGAGGGCCAATGAGAGAGAGACATATATAAATAAAACACATCCCTACGTTTGTTCCCCCTTAGTTTTAAAAATATACACTATACATATGTTAATTCCTGGAATCATTAGCTAGGTCACATGACCTGAGCCAGGGTCCCACTTCATCATTAGCAGTGGGCAGTTCTCTGCTCCATAGTGTTATGATGTGAGTACTAGTCTATGAAGCTTTCCATTGTGAGTCCATTCTGCATAATGATGCACCCCTGGGGTGCATCATTGACAACCTTGGCATGCAGGAAGTGGGTTGAATGATGCTGGTTGTCACTGAACCAGAAGGGGGCTGCCGATGGAGCAGGATTCTGGTTTTGGGAACTTTTTTTTGGACGGGGAAAGAGCGTGAAGGAATTTTAAAAAAACATGGCGTTCTGTTTTAAGAAAATGTTATATACAGTGACCAATATGCAGTAATATTGCCCATATCAGGTACAGGTACTTCTGAGAAGAAACCTTGCTTTCCCTCAATGTTTCCCTCTTTTTAAAGTAAGCCCACCTCCTTTCGTTCTTTATATTCAACTTCCCTTCATTCCTCCATCTCTGTTCATTGGAGCAATGTAATTTATCAGGTACGTTCGGGTATACGGAAGTGTACATCTTTCTTCCCTTGCTCTTACGTTGCAGCGCCAGGTGATAGGAAGGTAGGGGGGAGCCAATAGATGGTATGCATAAGCAAGGCATAAGGAGGTGGACTATACAGCAAATCAGTCAGCCTGAGCTCTGGTCATCTTCAATAGAGATCTCAGCGCCATGCCTAGGCCTTGTCATGTCATGTGACCATCACTGGAAACAGCACAGGGCAGAAAAGTATTTTAGCCTGTTGCTCTCTATTCATCTAACTCAACATGTCTGTAACATAAAAATCCAGGTCTACTTTAGCATTCTCATCTGTAGCATAAAAACAGCAAATGGGATCTGACAAGTTTATTTATGATGGTGCAGAAACTATTTTGTATCTTTCAGCATCTAAGACACAATTATATTTTTGCACATAGATAGGGTGAAGGCTCTATAAATGAATTGCAAACACTAACGTGATAATGAGTCCAGCTGCCTCTTCCTCAGGGTCATGTGATGCTGCCAGTTGAGTAGAGCGTTGTCCTGATTGTGATGACGGTGGATAATGTCTTTCTGTTGGAGTCTCCCCGTCTCATCATGTGTTCCCAAGTTCAGGAAATCTGGTTTTGTCCATTCTGAGACAAGCTCAGCAATCTAAACACAAAGTACAGGGTGACATACAGTTCGCAAGTAGATACTGAATAACATCACTTTAAATAGACATGATGGTCATTGAGAAAGGGAAACAGGGCCATACCAAAGGCCTAGATATACACTATATGGGCAAAAGTATAAGGGACCATGAGGTCAGATTTTTCTGGTAAAGGACAATGTTAATGCTACAACCTACAAAGACATTATAGGCAACTGTGAGCTTCTAACCTTCTGACAACAATTTGGTGAAGGCCCTGTGATGTTCCAGCATGACTGTGCCCCTGTGCACAAAGCCAGCTTCATAAAGACATGGTTTAACCAGTTTGGTGAGGAGGAACTCAAGTGGCCTTCACGGAGCCAACATAATTGGGATAGCCTGGAACGCCAATTGTGAGCCAGGTCTTCTGATCCAACATTAATGCCTGTCCTCACAAATGCTCCATTCACTAAACAGGCACAAATTCCCACAGACACACTCCAGAATATTATGGAAAGCTTTCCAAGAAGAGTGCAGGCTGCTATACCCTCAATGGGGGAAGGGGGCAACTCTATAATAATGCTCATCGTTTTAGAATGGGATGGAATATAAAGTTACATCATTGCCCATTAACATAATGTTTGTGCAGCTAAGTGTCATGTTTGTCATAACAGAGAAAACTAAAATCTGGTTGCAATGGGTTCCTGCACTTTGCACATCATCTCCATTTTTTACAATGACATACTGAATAAGTCTGCACATTCCCAAAGAACAAGTGCACTTTTGGTGAACCACCCTGAGAGCAGCCTGCCCCTTTCAGCTATAACATTATGACCACTGAGAGGTGAAGTCACACTGATAACATTGATTATCTCCTTACAAAGGCACCTGGAAGTGGGTGGGATATTTTAGGCAACAAGTGAACATTTTGTCCCTGAAGGTGTTGTGTTGGAAGCAGAAAAAATGGGCAAGTGTAAGGACTTAAGTGGCTTTGACAAGGGCCAAATTGTGATGGCTAGACGACTGGGTCAGAGCGACTCCAAAACTGCAGCTCTTCTGGAAGATCCCCAGTCTGCAGTGATCAGGACCTACCAAAAGTGGTCCAAGGAAGGAAAACCGGTGAACCACCGACAGGGCGTCCATGACTCATTGATGCACGTGGGGAGCGAAGACTGGCATGTGTAGTCCCATTCAATGGAAGAGCTACTTTAGCTCAAATGGCTTAGTGGCAGTTACCACAGCATACCTTTAGTGGTCTAGTGGAGACCATGCCTTGACAGGTCAGAGCTGATTTGGTGGCAAAACTCTTGAAATAATAGGTGGGTGGTCATAATATTATGGCTGTCCAGTGTAAATACTTTCCTCTAGTCTTTCCTAAATACTCTTCCTCATTGTGCTGGCCAGCCTTATGCCCCATAGCCTTTTCAGCTAAAACATCCAGGCTGGCTAAGGGCCACATTTATTCCTGTGGGTTAGTGATATTCCGCTGGATGGTTGGAATATGACTCACTAGTAGAAACACATAGAAAGGTAAGTATTAACACGGCAGACTATACTTAGGGAGGTTGGCGAATCAAGTAAAGGACACAGTCACTAAAAGTGAGCTTGTCCTTTAAAGTTTCTTCCCCCTATCCCCCCCTTATTTAGGGCAAAGTAAAAAGTTAAAATAAGAGTGGGGGCCTCCATGCTTCTTATACTTTTTTTTCCCTACTGGCCAGGGCGATCTATATAATGCCCATTGTAAACTCTTAGCGGGTCTGATCGAAGCTTACACACCCGACTAACATGACAACCATTGGGCTGGTGGCTGGCCACTCAGAGCACTTCATCATGGGAGAAAAGGGGTAGTCACATGCTCCTTATACCCAAAAGTAAACCTCACATGCTCCTTATACCCAAAAGTAATGGGTATTTTACCCCCTATGGGGGTAAAATGCCCATTACCTTTGAGTAAAATGGGGGTAAAATGAGTATGGGTATTTTACCATCTTGTTCACTCAGTGAACAGAAGGCAAGAATAGGTAGCTAACGCTTGAGGGGAGGGCTATCTACCCTAAATGGGCAAAGTATGGGTTCACTTTAGAGAATGCAAACAACAAACACAGGAAGGCATTGCCATAGTACATTTAGGAGATGATTTATAAATAATATGACCATCCATAGGCTGGGCAAATTCCGTTTACACAGAATTTCTAAATCAATTTCGAGTTGCCACCAGAAAAGGAATAGAGCCAAAATCTTCCAATGAGAACGCTTGTTCAGGTGACAACTGACTAACAGGGGATTTACCGCACCTTGAAAAATGTTCTCTCACTTCATGTTGTGTCGACGGGACAGGAGGTAAAGTGAAATATCCCCAATGGGGCAAAAACCTGACGGGTTTTAAAGTGGAGCATAACCCACTGATTAAACCATTTCTTATGTCAACTGTCAACCGAATTTTCACTCGCTCAAATGGCTGGTGTCATAGCTGGTAACATGTGCTGCTCATCTAAACAGAGGCTATCATGATGCTATCCTTGGTGAATAGGAGAAAGGATTACATTCACTTTAATCATTTCCTACTTCATTGGAAATTTTCAAAAGTTTGCTTTGGGTTTAGATACACTTTAATTGCCTTGTATTACGTTGGTCCTAGATTTTCACAAGCAAATCTTTCTATCTGCAGTAACATCAGGAATACGTTCATTACGAAATCAATATCAAAGACACATAAAAGCAAGAATTTCCCCAGAAGGGAGAACAAACAAAGGAATCTGTCATATGCTGCAATACAAGGCTTTGCGTAAAACAGACTTGCCTGCAAGTTCCCTCTTGCTGTGGCTTCTTTTCTGAGCTCCTGCAAACTCCCCAGAATGTTATGCGGCTGAAGCTGACCATGTGTGGCACTGAGAGGTAACTCTGCTTCTAAAACACAATCAGCATTAAAGGGGCACGTTAGAGAACAAGAAAATGTAGCACTTAAATGGTGGGTCAATCCCAAGCTGCTTTCATGATGGGCCGCCTATCATCCATGTGATGAGTTCCCAGGTCTGCACACCTGCTGTGCCCATTAGGAGTGGTCCCCACCATCCCTGCACTGAGTTCCCAGGTCTACACACCTGCTGTGCCCATTATGAGGGGTCCTCACCATCCCTGCACTGAGTTCCCAGGTCTACACACCTGCTGTGCCCATTATGAGGGTCCCCACCATCCCTGTACTGAGTTCCTGGATCTGCACACCGGCTGGGGCCATTATGAGGGGTCCCCACCATCCCTGCACTAAGTTCCCAGGTCTACACATCTGCTGTGCCCATTATGAGGGGCCCCCACCAACCTGCCCTGAGTTCCCAGGTCTACACACCTGCTGTGCCCATTATGAGGGGTCCCCACCATCCCTGCACTGAGTTCCCAGGTCTACACACCTGCTGTGCCCATTATGAGGGGTCCCCACCATCCCTGCACTGAGTTCCCAGGTCTACACACCTGCTGTGCCCATTATGAGGGGTCCCCACCATCCCTGCACTGAGTTCCTGGGTCTGCACACTGGCTGGGGCCATTATGAGGGTTTCCCACCATCCCTGCACGGAGTTTCAGGGTCTGCACACCTGCTGTGCCCATGATGAGGAGCTCCAACCAACCCTGCGCTGAGTTCCTGGGTCTGCACACCTGCTGGGGCCATTATGAGGGGCTCCCACCACCCCTGTGCTGAGTTTCCTTTTCTGCACACCATCTCTATGCTGAATTCCCAGGGCTGCCCATCTGCTGCGGCACTTATGAGGTGCTCCTACCATTCCTGCACTGAGTTCCCGGGTCTGTACACCTGCTGTGCCCATTATGAGGGGTAATCACCATCCCCGCTCTGAGTTCCTGGGTCTGTATACCTGATGTGGTCCTTATAAAGGGCTCCCACCATCCATGCTGGGTTTTTTAATTTCATTTTATGAAGAATGTAACAGGAGGAGGAGCTAGATGCACAGGTGGACAGGAACACTAAAAACCCCTAGGTGGACAGCAGCAAAGTTGTGAATTATTGCAGGGGTTCTTATTGATGGGGCACCAAAGCATATAAAACTGACTCAACATATTACTTTTGGGTGGACTGACCCTTTAACAAACACATGTATGAAGAGTTATACCGGCATACCTGAAAATGTTTGTCCCTTGGATGAAGAATCTTGTGGCGCAGGACGTGCCACCAACAGATGTCTTTTTCTACTCTCCTCTTTATCATGATGTTTGCGAATTAAAACTCTATTTGCGACTGGGGACTTCTGCTCTTCTTTGGGACGCCGCGGAAGATGGAGCTATCAAATAAATCAAAATGATAAAGAAAAGCCAATTTCTGTGAAATTTCTAGGTATACCATTACTACCAAAGGAGACAGGTATGGACGAACAGGGTGGGGAGGAGGATTGCAAAGTATAGGAACTACGCCAACAGCCTGCATTCTCCTCTGCTCCTGGATTGTGGGTGGGTCCTCGATGTCCTCCGGTACCATGCAAGATCACTGGTCATACATTGTACGTCACCACATCACGCAAGATCACTGGTCATACATTGTACGTCACCACATCATGCAAGATCACTGGTCCCACATTGTACATCACCACATCACGCAAGATCACTGGTCATACATTGTACTCCACCACATCACGCAAGATCACTGGTCATACATTGTACATCACCACATCACGCAAGGTCACTGGTCATACATTGTATGTCACCACATCACGCAAGGTCACTGATCATACATTGTACGTCACCACATCACGCAAGGTCACTGATCAAACATTGTACGTCACCACATCACGCAAGGTCACTGGTCCTACATTGTACATCACCACATCACGCAAGGTCACTGATCATACATTGTATGTCACCACATCACGCAAGGTCACTGATCATACATTGTACGTCACCACATCACGCAGGGTCACTGGTCCTACATTGCACATCACCACATCACGCGAGGTCACTGATCATACATTGTACGTCACCACATCAGTGCCAAGGAGTGGTTTTGTACAGCCTGTTGCCCAGCAGGCAGGAAGATTGAAGGTCCGAGGCATAAGGTGAGTATTCCTCTGCTAAACTGATCGAGCCCCTAAACTAATCAAGTATTTAGCCCTTACTATCCGGGGTAGTTATACAATTATTATTATTATTATTATTATACAGGATTTATATAGCGCCAATAGTTTGCACAGCGCTTTACAATATAAGGAAGACATTACAATCACAATACAATTCAAGACAAGATGGTAAGGATAACACATTGTGAGATCTTATGAGATTACAGATGATATTTCCCAGCAATGCTCTGCTGATTTAACCTTCCCAGGATGTAACACTTGGGCACAGGCTCCATCACTAATGGCCAAAAGGACCAGGAAGGGAAGATCCTGTCATTTATCTGTCCTTCCTCTCCCCTTCTTCTCCTTTCATGGGCTGCCTGCAAAAAAACTACAGGAGGGGGCAGAGACAAGACCAGTCACCCTGCACAAGGAGAGGGAGCAGCAGTGACAGGTCTTTGTAACAGGAAGCTTCACACTCGATTACTGCATGGATCTGGAAAAAGTACACAAAGCACACCAAGATTTAAGTAAGAGCATGGTTAGCCCTTCTCTAAAAGTTTTGGCTTTAGATACCTGTGCCATGTGCACCCTAATATGTGTTTAAATCAGTGGCGTAACAATCGCCATAGCGACCCAGGTGGCCGCTGTGGGGCCCGGGCGCAGGGGGGCCCGGCCTGGGTCGCTATGGCATGTGGGGGTGCTGGCTGTCACAGCTCGGCAGATGAGGGCGGTGTTCGGAATGGAGGAGGCCGTACCGCCTCCTCTTACATCACTGGCCAGCGACCTAAGAGCAGGTGGGGCCAGTGTCTGGTCATACATTGTACATCACCACATCACGCAAGATCACTGGTCATACATTGTACTCCACCACATCACGCAAGATCACTGGTCCTACATTGTACATCACCACATCACGCAAGGTCACTGATCATACATTGTATGTCACCACATCACGCAAGGTCACTGATCATACATTGTACGTCACCACATCACGCAAGGTCACTGATCATACATTGTACGTCACCACATCACGCAGGGTCACTGGTCCTACATTGCACATCACCACATCACGCGAGGTCACTGATCATACATTGTACGTCACCACATCAGTGCCAAGGAGTGGTTTTGTACAGCCTGTTGCCCAGCAGGCAGGAAGATTGAAGGTCCGAGGCATAAGGTGAGTATTCCTCTGCTAAACTGATCGAGCCCCTAAACTAATCAAGTATTTAGCCCTTACTATCCGGGGTAGTTATACAATTATTATTATTATTATTATTATACAGGATTTATATAGCGCCAATAGTTTGCACAGCGCTTTACAATATAAGGAAGACATTACAATCACAATACAATTCAAGACAAGATGGTAAGGATAACACATTGTGAGATCTTATGAGATTACAGATGATATTTCCCAGCAATGCTCTGCTGATTTAACCTTCCCAGGATGTAACACTTGGGCACAGGCTCCATCACTAATGGCCAAAAGGACCAGGAAGGGAAGATCCTGTCATTTATCTGTCCTTCCTCTCCCCTTCTTCTCCTTTCATGGGCTGCCTGCAAAAAAACTACAGGAGGGGGCAGAGACAAGACCAGTCACCCTGCACAAGGAGAGGGAGCAGCAGTGACAGGTCTTTGTAACAGGAAGCTTCACACTCGATTACTGCATGGATCTGGAAAAAGTACACAAAGCACACCAAGATTTAAGTAAGAGCATGGTTAGCCCTTCTCTAAAAGTTTTGGCTTTAGATACCTGTGCCATGTGCACCCTAATATGTGTTTAAATCAGTGGCGTAACAATCGCCATAGCGACCCAGGTGGCCGCTGTGGGGCCCGGGCGCAGGGGGGCCCGGCCTGGGTCGCTATGGCATGTGGGGGTGCTGGCTGTCACAGCTCGGCAGATGAGGGCGGTGTTCGGAATGGAGGAGGCCGTACCGCCTCCTCTTACATCACTGGCCAGCGACCTAAGAGCAGGTGGGGCCAGTGATGTAAGAGAAGGCGGGGCCCGTCGATAGCAGAGGAGGGGGGGCCCGGGGACGGAACAGGAGTCAGGGCCCGGCGACCACAGAGGCGCTGACAGGTAAGAGATCTCAGACCCTGCAGGGTCACTCTCCGCTGGGGCTCTGCAAGTGGCATGACTAGCAATCACGGGGCCATACAAAATTTTGCTATGGGGCCCTGTGATTTCTAGTTACGCCCCTGGTACAAATTACATATTTGAAGCACCAATTCCAGCCCAAGACGGACTATATTTACACAGGTATTATCCGCTGACATCTATTGCTCCCCAGACGGGGGAATGCTGGAGAGACCTCCACCATCTGCTAAACAAAGCCAGAAACTGTGATATATATGAAAAGTTTAGATGTTAGAAGGAAGTTGCATCACTACATGAAGAGGAAGCTGTGGAAATCTAAGATGTAAAATGCATAAATAGCCAAAATGTCAAAAGATTTTAACTTATTGAAGCTGCAATGTAATTTGCAGACCAACAACTACTCATCAGCATTAAGGTCACAACAATGCGTAAACTCATTAGACACGTTCAATGACGCAATCCACAAATAACGCAATACGTGTCACATTTATGATGATGCTACAAAAAAGGCATCACAGATTTTTCTGGAATCATCGGACAGATAACAAGCCTTGTAAAGTTGTCCATCAATGATAATTCTTTAACCATAGTGTATGTTGAGAAACCTGAAGGGTTCCTCCATTGTGCTCAGCATACACTGATGGCAGGAGGCTTCCAAAGGATGACTGTTTGGCTTCCTCATTGAAGACAGGAGCTTCTCAGCCTTTTGGCTAAGATCCAGTGTATCTGTTCTTATCAGTGTGCAGGAGGGGAACAGCATGGACCGTCATGGAGTGGATGGTTGCTAAGTACTCTCCGAAGTGAAGGTGGGTATTGAGGCGGCTCCTTTTTGGAAGAGGGGGGAGCTTCCTCGGCATTAATGCCTCCTGATAGGGATAGGTGCTGCACCTCTGGTCTGGCTGGAGGGTTCGGGAGGCGCAGAGGCCAGTGGTGCTGTGCCCCCCAGGGGTGGCGTCCCAGGTTGTGCCAGAAAATCACATGGGTGTGGGACCCCACTGTGATTCCCTGTCACTAGGTCACGGCACTTCTGGACTATTCCTCTAGGGCAGGCCTTATGACTAGCTCGGGGCAATATTTTTTCTCCCCGGCTGCAAGGCCTGCCAGAGTTGCGCACTGGCACTCTATTTATTTTCTGCACTTTTTATGCACGTTTGAGCACCTTTTTTCGACTTCACAGAAGACAGAGGGTGCGGGTACCTTCAACGCCCTTCCTGATGTCGGGGGGAGGTTCTGTGGCCTCTATGGGCTCCCCTGCCTCCCCGGGGGTCTCTCTTCGGGAGAGCCCCCACCTAGTACTCTGTGGACCTGTTTCAGCAGGTCCAAGAGGAGAGGGGTCCGCCAGCCTTCGGGTAGGAGGACCTAAGTCGTCCTTGCTCCTGTCAGAAGCCTTGCACCCCGGGGGGTTTCAGGAAATCAAGGCCCTTTCTCTTCAGAGAAGGTCCAAAGCACCCTCGTGCACTTTTTTTTTAATGTGCTTTTAGTTCACTTTTTTTGTTCACAGGGGTGAAGTTTGTCTTTGATGCACGCATCACGGACCTTTAAAAAGAAAAATTGAAGATAGGATCTACTGAAGGACAATCAGCGGGTTACAGACTGCCCAGTGTGACATTTATGGCTGAACCAGTCTTGGACATAGGCATGCTGTGATGCTGCTGGGCCTCAGTGCCACCGTAAATGCTTCACGCCCTAACTTTTAGATTGTATGGGCAGGGCCCTCCTATCCCCCTTGCCTGTAATTGTATTGTAACTATAACGTCGTCCTTTATATTGTAAAGCACCATGCAAACTGTTGGCGCTGTGTAAATCCTATATAAGAAAATGTCAAGGTCGTATAGTAGCCATTATCTAATACAGCATCTCACCTTCTCCAGATCACCAAATCTGATTGCCAGGGACTGAATTTCATCTCCTGTCAGCGTGCTGCTTGTAGAGGTGTCACTTAGTTCAATGGGCACTGGTGGAGTAGGCTGCTCATTTACCTTTGACTTCCTTTTCTCTGTAACAATCAATTCATAAGTCAATGTAACAATGGCAGATTTTTTAGGTTTGCATAGTGGATTGGGGTTCTAAGGTAGGACCATAGCCAAAAATGTATATTACTATTCACTACGCATTCCATAATTAAAAGAACATGACTTAATAAGGTGCCTAAAGGTAACAAACTAACATTAGGGCGCCTGCCTTTAGATGTCACAGCATTATGCAGCTGCTACAGTACTGCTGATCTCCTGCAGCCACTTCCTGTCTACATGCACTTCAGTGATGGCTGTATGGCATTTCAAGGTCTGATTTCCCGATGGTGACAACAGTGGACCAAGTCTGCATGATGTTTGTTGAAGGGGCCACTTGTAGTCTGCGTTGGAAGCGCATGTGACAGGGTGACAACACAGGAGCACAACTGGCAGACAGAGAGAGAGAGTGTTGTCATCCTATAACAGGAAGTGCCTCAACAAGGACCTTCATGGTAGGATCAGCAGGTATTATTTGAATAGCTGCAGATTTTAAAATATTGACAATTTCTTTTGAAAATAACAATCACATGTTAAAGCTTATTTGTGTGGGCTCCTGAAATTCTCCCTTTCAGTGGCAGAAATATCACCATAGCGACCCAGGCGGCCTGGTGCAAGGAACATAGGGAACATAGGGGTCCCCCTGAGGCCGCCTGGGTCGCTATGGCATCGCAGACTGCTGGCTGTCACTGGCGGCTGTGAGGAGGAACGTGTCGCTGTCCAGATCACTGACAACCTGTAACCTGTCCGTTATCTGTGCAGTGGCGCGTTCCTCCTCAAAGCTGCTGCTGAGTCAGTGACAGCCAGGGCTGCTGTGGAGGAGCCCGGGGCCCGGTGGCTGCAGCGGAGGAGGCGGGGCCCAGTGGCGGTGGAGGAGGAGGAAGAGGTGAGGCCTGGCAGCAGTGGAGGAGGAGGTGGGGCCCGCCGGCGACCGAGGAGGAGGCT